AGGTGATATCTCATTGTGGTTTTGATTGGCATTTCCCTGACCATTAGTGATGTGAAACATATTTTCATGTACCTGCTGGCCATTTGGATGTCTTCTTTGGAAAAATGTCTATTCAGGTCCTTTGCCCATTTTTTAATCAAAGTATTTGTTTTTTTTGCTGTTGAGTTGAGTTCCTTATATATTTTGGATATTAACCCCTTATCAGATAGATAGTTCAGGAATATTTCCCCTCATTCACAGGCTGCCTTTTCCCTTTGTTGATTGTTTCTTTTGCTGTGCAGAAGCTTTTTAGTTTTATGTAGTCCACTTGTTTATTTTTGCTTTTGTTCGCGCTTTTGGTGTCATATCTGAAAAATCATCTCCAAGACTGATGTCAAGAACACCTGTGTGTTCTTAGATTTAAATCTTTAACAGATTTCAAGTTAATTGTTGTGAAAGGTGTAAGATAGGGGTCTTATTTAATTCTTCTGTATGTGAAGATACAGTTTCCCCATCACCGTTAATTAAAGAGACTATCTTTTCCCCATGAGTGTTCTTGGCTCCTTTGTCAAATATTAGTTGGCTGTATATGTGTAGGTTTATTTCTGGGTTCTCAATTCATCTGTTTTTATGCCAATACCATACTATTTATATTATCATACCTTTGAAATCAGGAAGTGTGATGCCTCCAGCTTTGTTCTTCTTTCTCAGGATTGCTTTGGCTATTCAGCGTCTCTTATGGTCCCATAAGAATTTTAGAGTTGTTTTTCTATTTCTGTGAAAAATGTCATTGGAATTTTGATAGAACTTGCATTGAATCTATAGACGGCTTTGAGTAGTATGGACATTTTAACAATATTAATTCTTCTGATCTATAAACACAGGATATCATACCATTTATTTGTGTCTTCTTCAATTTCTTTCATCAATGTCTTGTAATTTTCAATGTACAAATCTTTCACCTCTTTAGTTAAATTTATTCCTAAGTATTTTATTTTTGATGCTATTATAAATGGGATTGTTTTCTTTATTTCTTTTTCAAATAAGTCATTGTAGATGTATAGAAATGCAATTGGTTTTGTATATTAATTTTGTCTCCTGTAAATTTACTGAGTTCATTTATTAGTTCTAACAGGTTTTTTTTAAACTTTTTTGGGGATTCTTTAGGATTTTCTATACATATAAATATCTGAGATCATATCATCTGCAAAACAGAGAACAATTTTACCTTTCTTTTCTGATTTGGGTGACTTTTATTTCTTTTTCTTGCCTTATTGCTCTGGCTAGGAATTCCAGGACTATGTTGAATAGGACTTGTGAGAGCGGGCACCCTTGTCTTCTTCCTGATCTTAGTGAGAAAGCTTTCTCTCTTTTACCATTGAGTATGACATTAGCTGTGGGTTTGCCGTATGTGGCCTTTATTATGTTAAGGTCATTCACTTCTCTTTTGGCTTTTTAGCTATGCCTCTTTGTATTATTTTTTAGTGGTTACTCTTGGCATTGCAATATACATTCTTATTACAATCTACTTAGAATTAATATTTGATCACTTTAGATTTTATTCTTTACATCTGACTTTTCCCACTTCATAAATGAAACAAATGTCACAGTGGTTTAATTCCATTTAAACATCATACCCCTGTCTTTAAGTTCCTGTTTTTTATACCTTTTAATTCTTTATAACTTATAATGTATAAATCCCATCAGAGTGTTATTATTTTTATTTTAAACAGTTGCTTTTTAAGGACATTAAGAAAAGAAAAATAAAGTCTTTTATGTTTACCCACATATTTACCATTTCTGATACTCATTATTCTCTTCTTGTAGATCTTACTTTCCATCTTGTATTATTCTCCTTCAACTTGAAGGACGTCCTTCAGTATTTCTTGTCGTACAGGTATGTTGGTGACTAATTGTCTCAGCTTTTGTTCATCTGAAAATGTCTTTATTTCATCTTAATTTTAGAAGACCATTTTCTTGGATCTAGAACATATTCTGTAGGATTTCAATCCTTTGAAATATATTAAGAGTCTAGTTCCAAGGCCTGACCAGAGAGAGGGCAGATGGGACACCTGCCATGGTCAGGGATTGGGGCAAGAACTTTGAGGAGCTAAGACTGATGATTTCTACAGAAGGTAAGTGTTGACATGGAGCAATAACGGCCAACATGGGCTGACAAAACTAGGATGTATTAACAGGACCAAGAGGAGCTGATGTTGGCCAACATGGGCTGACTTGGGTCACAACTTCTGAATCTCATTGATTCTATAGCTGGAAAGAAGCTTAAAGCTTCTGTCACTTTTTAGAGGAGAAAACTGAAGCGTGGAAAGGAACTTTCTCAGAATCACACAATTGCATAATGCCAGAATCCAGGCTCTGAAATCACATCTTCTTTCTCCAAGCCTAGGAGTCTTTCCTTCTGTCTCACCTGCCTCTCCATGGAGGTAAGGCACCAGAGTGCTGATCGATCTGGGCAGCACATGCCTGAGAGCTCATGCTTGTCCCTAGCGAGGCCTGGAGCAGCTTTCAGGGCAAAGGTTGTTCCAAGTTCTGGAGGAAATTTTTCGTTCTGCATTATCTGGGTTAAACCCCTGGGGGCAATGACCTTATAGCACTGTCAACCCCTGGAGAATGAATGGCAAGGAACACGCTTAACTTTTAGATGCAGATAACCACCCCCAACTGAGGACATCCAGATAACGGACACACAAGATCTTGGACCACAAGAACTTGGACACTTAATATTAACCACATTTTCCAATCTGTGGCCTTTTCTTATTGCCTTTTAGCTTTTATTTCTAACCTTTTCTAAGCCACAAGCTACAAGACCAGGAGTCTGACTATAGGTAATACTGAAATTTCCTTGGTTTGAATTCCATCCCATATGTTTTTTTCTTTCTTCATATGTTAGTATATATATTGAAGATGCTTATTTACAATAATTTATTGACTCAAAACATTAGAGAAACTGTCTAAACATTATCATAAAACAATACGATCATCATAAAATAATATGGTGCACATCAGCAATGCTCCCACCCAGACACATCACAGCACTAGCAGAGGAGCCTTGGGAATCTCTGGGGATCTGTGGACACTCTAGTTCAGAGGGGGTTAGTTAAGAGCTGCCCTCCTCAGCAGCTGGATAAGGCAGTCAGGGAGCCATATTTGGGGTTGTAGCCCCAGCTAGTGGCAGAGGAAAGTGGATGCCAGTTTTATATTCTTCTTTAAAATCTGGAGTCCTTGACCTCTAACCCAGGTGGGCCAGGGGCCACCCCTGAGGCAAACCATGTGGACTTGTACCACTATGCTATCTCCACCGTCCAAAAACTCCAAAACTGCTTGGCGCTGACACAGCACCTCTAGCTACAAGCGGACATTCTCCTTTTAGTTTGTGTGATCACTGCTGGGGCAGCCCATCCACTTGTCAGCACCTTTTCCCTTTCTTTTCTCTCCTTCCTTCCCCCCCTCCTCCCTTTCCTTCCTTCCTTCCTTCCTTTCTTTCTCTCTTTCTCTTTCTTTCTTTCTTTCTTCCTTCCTTCCTTCCCTCCTTCCTTCCTTCCTTTCTTTCTTCCTCCCCTCGTTCCCTTCTTCTTTCTTTCATTCATTTAGAATAACAATAATACTCCACAACTCAAAGAAGTAAGAATAACATTGTGTTTTCAAACTAACAAACTGACAATAAGCTCCTTCTTTTTCTTATTTTTTAACTGTAAAAAGCATTACTTTTATTGGAAAAATGAAGTCTGAGTCTTGTCTAAGTCAGTTGAAGTGGGAATTTTAATTTGGCTAGGTTTCCTTTTTGGCAGCACAATTTAGAAAGTGACCAGTGATCTCATATAAGGGCTTGACGCTAAATACAGCAGAACAGGCAAAGAAGAGAAGGCACAGGCAGAGGGCAGAGGTGAGAGAGGCATTTTAGAACTGATCAAGGTCGGGGTAGCTGGTGTCTGTCTGCCTCTTCAGTCCCTGTAAAGCTTTGCCCTGAGCCTTCAGGTCTCACCAGGATCTAAGCAACGTCATAATGTTATCACGCTTAAGATAGATAGATGGCATTTGTTAGGCACTTGCTAGGAGCCATGCACGTTTTATAATCCTTTACGTTTAATTTTCTGCCAAATGAGAGACCCACCCAGAGAACCCTGGGAGTCTGGACTTAATGCTCTGTCTCCTCGCACACCTGTGCCTTGCTGCACCAACTCACCTTCTGGCTAGGCTCCGATTCCCTCCTCTGCCTCGTCCTTCTTGTTGTGAAGGCTGCATGGTTATTTCCAGCTCTGCGTTTCCATCTCAAACTCTCGTCCTTCAGCTCTCTATTTCATTGCTGCCCTCTTGGGGCAATGCAGCCTCAGACAAATCTGCCTGTCATGACCCCCTGTTGTCTAACTCTGGAACTTTCTCTGTGGTTCTACAGCTCTACTGAGAACCACGTCCTCCCACAGACGGGTTTGGACACCAGCAACTTGAAAAATAAAACAATAAACGCCAGATATAGAAGCATATAAAAAAAAGTCCGAGACAGACAAATAACTTGTTTTTAAATGCTATGGCCATGGAAGCATGGCTGAAAAGTTCACAAATATGACCACCTCGTTTTATTGCCCCTTGTTTATATACTGAGTTCAGAGGTTTGTGATACTAAATTGTAAGTGAAAAAGTCAGTAAGAGCGTTTAAATCGGGCAAAGACGTGGGATCATAGCAAATTAAAAGATTGCCTTTTTCCTTGCCTCCTCCCTTTGGTTAGCCCAACTGCAAAGTCAGTGTTGACTTCTGTCATCTTCTAAAATTCCACCTTTCTGTGGTGCTTGTATTTCTGGAACATTCACTCAAAATAGTAAGGTTGCACTCTGTCCCCTGGTGTTAATTCTGGGTTGTTTGGGAACCCAGCTTCTCCAAAGGAGTCAGGCTCCGGACTTTCTAGTAAAGGGTGAGCATAGATGTTTTTAAAAGGGGGTGCTGTACCTTTAAATTCTGAAAGTGAACTTGGCTCAGCAAGGCCAGCAGTCAAGGTCCAGCCCCTAGAAGAGAGAATAGTTACAGATTCTCCATCCTCAGTCTTTGCAAGGGGACGGCTGTGCCAGCCGGGCTCGGGCAGGCTCCTGGCAGCATGGCAGCAAAGCCTGGGGCCCTCCTGCTGGTCCTCGCGCTCAGCCTGGCACAGCCAGCCTCGGCCCACCGGAAGCTCCTGGTGTTCCTGCTGGATGGTTTTCGCTCGGACTACATCAGTGATGAGGCCCTGGAGTCCTTGCCTGGTTTCCAAGAGATCGTGAGCAGGGGAGTAAAAGTGGACTACTTGACCCCAGATTTTCCCAGTCTCTCTTATCCCAATTACTACACCCTAATGACTGGTGAGTACCGGTTCCTCTTCTGGGTGGGGAGGGGCGGGCTGGAGTCCAACAGGGAACAGTTAGCTCCTGGAATCGAGTCTCGTTTGGGTTTTCCTAGTCCTTTGGGACACCAAAGATAGACAAGAAATCTGTGTTCTTGGCTGAGATTTTTCTTTTCACGGTTGTGTTGGTCTCCAAAAGTTATCCCAAGGACCTGTTTTGGATTCTCAGTGTGGAGAACAGAGAACTACGTGAACAGATGACTTACAAAAATGATGAGTTTTACAAGGAGAAATTCTAGCTAACTCCACGTTTTCTAAGTTCAAGTTTAAAAAGTCAGCAGGTCTTCGTGTGTCCATACCAAATTCCTTCTGTCCCTTTGCTCTGCAGTCATCTGTCCTCCTGGAGGCATTTTGGCTTGTTTATCAACGTGCTAGACTATGAGAGTTACACGTGGGGTTCCTGGATTACTTGGAGCGAGTTTCTAGGCCATATCCTGAAATATTATTACTTAGCAATGCCACTTGCGTCTTCTTTTGCTTTTTTGGGCCAGGTAAAATGACACAGAGAAGAAAAGAGTTGTTGTGTAATTCAGATTCCAATTTTTAACTTCTAGCATCTGTTAAAAAGAAAAAAAAGCCCCAGCTAACCCAGACTGTGCCTGGGTTTGAGAAAGCTGATTTTTCCCTGAAGATGACCTTCCTCTGGGATTGCCCGAACGCTAAATGTGATTCCACAAACTTGATCCTCTGTCTTTGCAATAGAACGTGCTTTCTGCTCACGCAGTTGGATTCCCAGCTTCGTTTGTTTGTCAGTTAACCTTTGTAAGGGCCAGCAAGAGGTTCTCAGAAAGAATTTAGCAAACCGTCCAGGGAGGCTGTTAAGAATGCACTGTTATTGCTGCTTATGCAGGACTTCTCTGTGCTCTCTGAACACAGGGAAAACTATAAATTATGTTAACAGAAAGGGGATGAGAACTCTTGCATCTCGTTATGGATCTCTATAGATTGGCAAACTGAAGGAGTTTGAAAAGACAAATCGATGTCTCTGATTTCATGCATGGGTTCTGCACGCATGTGTACGTGAAAATTCCATACAATTCAAGGGGAAAGAGACTGGAGAATTAGAAATGAAGGCATGGAGAGAAAAAAATCCAGACTGCATACAAGCCAGGAATTTATTTGCTTATTTTTTTATTTCCCCCAACAGACAAACAGCCAGCGTCTCTAAGATAAAGAGGATGAACAAAAGTCCTCTCGTCCTCACTTGGCACACGTTCCCCCGTGGAGGGAAGCAGTTTGCAGGCTGCTGGGTCACACATAGCTGTTATTGTGTGTCACAGCCCGACTTCAGTTCTGTCCAGGGAGCTTCATACACGCAGACCACCCCCATTCCAGTTGTCTCTCAGCCTTGCTGGGAGACCCAATTCATAAACTGCCACGTGCGGTTTTCTCGATCTCAGTGGAAAATGAACAAAATCCATTTTAGAAAGTCAGACTCCAGTGAGGAAAAAGGGCCCATTACAATCTCCACAGAGAAAGCAAGCCAGTGACATGGTCCTTTGTCTGTCAGACCCACATTCCTGATATTGGCACCAGGAATAATTGGCACAAAGCCTCGGTCATGCAGGGACACACTTTTTCAGGCCATGGGTGTCTTCACTTGTCTTCATGACAGAAGAGCCCCTCCCACAGTGGGACAGTGCAGTTCCCATGAGAGTTTGACAAAGATCTCACCTTCACTTTCAAACTGAGCCTAGCCGAGGAAGCCATAAGTTGTCCATGTGTGTTCTGCGTATATATTTTTAGATGGTAGAATGTATTATCTGATTAGAAAGCCTGCTCAATACTTAAATTGGCTTTTCCAGTTTGGAAAAGCAATATCGTATACAGGATGTGTCTGGCAAGGCTCATGTTCGTGTGCAAATGTCTTTGGGTCTCATTTGTCTTGGACCCACTAAGTGAACGAAAGGGCTTGGCCCAGGCTGATAGGCTGGGAGATGCCAGGCCAAGAGGATGGTATGGTTTCCACCACCCCAGGACTGGCTCAGGGCTAAATTTAGACTGTTTCTCCCAATATCCATGCTTATTTTTCCACCTGATGTTGAAATACTCCTCTTTTCTCATATCAGGAAGGATCTATCTGTTGGGATTTCTATTTAAACATATGGTTTGAGCATTTGAGCATTTTGTGAACCAACAAAAGAATCGTGCTAGATCCTTTTGGTACTAAAAGATACGCTGTTTTAGGGATCCTCAGAATTCGTAAGAGAGAGTATGGTCTCATTTCATTACGTGAATTATTGCCCATAAGACACAAAGCCCTTAGTGTCATTCTCTTTGCATAATAAGAAATGATGGCTTATTGGAAGGAACCCTGGCTTTGGAGCTGGAGGAACTTGCTTGGAGTCCTGCAGAGTCAGGATGATGCTGGAAGACTCCAGATAAGCCATTGCACTGCTCTGAGCCTCAGTTTCCTCAGCTTCTGAATCCCACTCAGGCCAGGGTCTCAGGTGTTGCCAGATGCGGACATGAAAATAAGCGATGCATAGGGAATTTGACAAAATTAGGACTGGCATGTCTTGGGAAGCCTCCACGTAAGATATTAAGGAAATGACTAAAACTCTCTAGAGAGGAGAACTCCTTGGGAAGCCAATGTGGATGGCGATGGGAAATAAACAATCACAAGATTTCAAGAAAGCTTGGAAATCATGTCGCCCACTGACATGAAGCCATGTGGCTGATTTCTTTTCTCCTTCAAAATATATTTGCATCAGGACAAATGTGAACAAAATCCCAGTAGTGATCAAGAAGATTCGTCAAACAATTGAGTGCTGGCAACGCATAGAATCCTAAAACGGGGCCTTTCGCCCAGGGAGCCTCCGTCCAAGTTGAGGAGGAGAAGCACATCGGGTACCTATAACATTCTAGAATGAATGACAAGGGCTGAATCGTATCCCTCCAAAATTTGTGTGTTGCAGTCCCAACCCAGAACCTCAGAATGTAACTGTGTTTGAAGATATGGTCTTTAAAGAGGTGATTAAGTTAAAATGAGGCCCTTAGCCTGGGACCTTAATCCAATGTGACTGATGTCCTTTTATGAAGAAAAAGAGACACTAGGGATAAGCCTGCACTGAGCAAAGGGCACATGAGGGCACACCGAGAAGGCAGCATCCTGCAAGGCAAGGAGAGAAGTCTCACCAGAAACCAAATCTGCCAACATCATGATCTTGGATGTCCATCCTCCAGAACTGTGAGAAATAAATGTCTGCTGTTTGGCTCCCCAGTCTGTGATACTTTATCATGGCAGCCCTAGCAAACTAAGATACTAAGGACCAATGGGTAGTTTCCTAATATGCTCCAGAAGACCAGAAGAGAGGAGAATTTTCTTCCAGTTGGAGTAGCGTGTGGAAGCATTTTGAAGGAGGTGGGCCCTGAGCTGGAATAAACAGCCACAAGCATGGCATATATTGTTCTGTCTCCCTTTATGCAGAGGCACTCTTTCTGAAGAGCGGTGTGTGAACCAACTTAAATTTTAGTTGAAACATAACCAGTGTAACTGCTACTGGCTGCTTTTTGTTTTAGTCTCTCTTACTGTGGCTGTTTTTGTAAAGTTATTCTCTCTTTGAGGTAAATTCACATTTGATTGAAGAAAAGTTTAAGATAAAATCCGTGGAAGGAAAGCAGTGATCTCTTCAATCCGGATCATAGGTGAGAGAAAATGCCAGGTATATTTTGAGGCAGCCTAACTTAGCATCATTTTGCCGAGGTCAATGGCAGCATTTGTTTGTAATTCTTGAACCCTTCTGATGAAACATTTGGGGAAAGTGGTCCAGAAACGTCCTGAGTAGCAGGGAAACCAGTCTAGCATTTAATCTTGACTGAACGTAGTCTTCCAAGAGACGAACATCTGCCGAAGTGAGTTTGCTGTGCAGTATGTGATGATCAGTTCCACATTTAGAAACTAGTAAAGTTCAAGGAGTGGTGCTTCACTCCAGACACTGAAGAAGGTCAGCAGCAGGCTGAGATTGGAGAGGGGGCATCAGAGCCCAGTTCTCACATAGCAATTTGCGGGGCCCTGACCTGAGTCCTGGAGCGCCCAGGAGGTTATGCCTGTGACCCCGGACCCAGGGAGAGCGGTCTCCCTAAGACCGGTCCAGTAGGCAGCGAGAGCCTGAGTCAAGGTGCTCTATCAATCCTTGACCGGAATCAAAGCAAAACCAAGGATGTCCACCGCTTAGAATTAACAATGGTGCCAATGCAGTTCCTGTTGTCCTCCTAGGAGTCACGTGGGAAGCAGATTCATCCCAGATATCAAGGATCCGACACTCTGGAGAGAGAGATTGCAGGGGGAGGTACGCTTTCCCTGGTTTTTAAGAGAATAGCTGATTTAAATTAAAACCGGCTGTCCCTTGGACCAAAGGAAATCAGTGCAGAAAGCACTTGAGAAATCATGTTTTGAAAAAAACCCCACATGCTCAGTTTTCTGGAGAATTCGGGTTTCACTTGGGGGGCTGCCCAGTGGCCTCTGCACGCCCACAGCACAAGCAGCACGGACGCGGCCTCCAGGGCTCCCTCCCCTCCCCCAAGAGACACTGGCACGAGAGATGCGCCCCAGCCTGTTAGCCTCCTTAGATTCAGACACCTCCTCAGATATGTTATGTTGGATGCCCTCAACTTCTCCCCTCATTCTCTCTGGTACAAAACCGATCGTGCTTTTGTTCTCCCCAGTGACCTCATAGGGGTCAAGGGTCAGTCCTCAGGCTTTGACTTCGTGCCCAGGAACAGCGTTTGGCACAGCCCATGCTCCTCTGTCCTCACAGCTCACTCGGGTTCCAGGACTCTGGCCTCTCTGGTTTCCTCTTGTTTCACTGACTGCTTCTCAGTCCCTTTGGTTGGTTCCTCCTCATCTTTCTCACCTCCCTTTCTCTCACGGCCTGAGTCAGCTGTATTTTCCAGATGGATTGGAAGCTTCCACTTCTCCCACCTCCATCCCAGGCACTCTATTGCTTAGAGCTTCCT